CTACTCCTCCTCCTGCTGCTGCTGCAAGGACAAGAAACTACCGCCCCGCGATCGCTCCACTAAACTCCTCTACCGACTGCCTTTACATATAACAGCAGCAATAGGTTGATGGTTGCTTGTAACAGCAGAACAGCAGCAGGCGGGAGTCGCGGTAGTATGACATGTGTTACAACCTAATTACCTTGCAGGCGCAGAACAGCAAGAGAAGCGGTATGGACTGCAAAGCATGTTCAATGGGCGTTGCCCGACGCGTCTACAACCACACCAGTTCCATGCCCCAATGTTGCCACCCAATGTGTTGGCACCCTTATTCCCGAATTTTCATAGAAGCCCTCCGATGCAACATCCACAGCTCTGAACTTTCAACACTCAAGCCTACATGCCACACCCCAGCCCGTCACTGAGCTAAGACTGCTAGGAGTGATTGCTTCGTCCGGCAGCTATGCTTAGATATTCAGGGTGACAAACAGCAGTGCCTACATCGAAAACAAGCCCTGTTCGACCACCTCATACCCCGACTTTCCATGATTGGGCTCTTCGAAGCCTAAACCCGACTTTCAAATCAAACCAGGGGAAGTGTATGCGTTATCCCTGCCTCGACTTTCTTTATGTCAAGTAAATTGCAACAGTAAATTCTCGCACCTACAGAGCAATCTAACTCGAGGCAAGGTTCATGTACCCGTACTTGCGGAAGAGGTCGCGGAAGCCTTGTAGTATACTCTCGGCCAGCGCAACTTCCTTCTCCTTGTGTCTCGGAAAGGCTCGGGTTTTCTGTCCACTGCTGCTTACCGATGTGACTGCGGCATGGTGCTATCTAATTGAAGCGATTGGTACCAATGAAACTCGAGCTCTTCCCGGCAACCGCTGCAACAACCACAAAAGATGAGCCTTTTGAAGTTGCTTGTCTTTTCGGCACGGACCACGAAACAGAACCGAAGATACAGCCTTGAAGCCCGAACTCGTGACCCAGATCCTAATCCGTTGTTGAGATTTGCAACCTGAGACAATGCAACCATCCAAAGAGCCAGCCGGGATTCTCCCGAGGGGTTGATGCCACCCTTTCTCATGCGTCTTCGGAATGCCACGCAGCCTTCTGGGGCCTTGAAGTTCACCACGGCATGCGAAAGATTCTGTTGGCCTATCTGCTTTCTTGGAAACCAGATTACGACATCATACTTGTCACGGAAGCCCAGGGTATCCACTAGTCCTCGGGACTTCTCATGACTGTAGTCAACCGGCAGATTCATCATCACGATTGTGGTGTCCGTATTGCGGCCGCCATTGCTTTGGGCAGCTGTACCTCGCTGCTTGCTTGATGACCTCCTCTTACCCGAGGAGCTGGATGCATCCTGTACCACCTGCCTAATTTCGTGCGAAGATGCATCGGTGCTGTCTGTTGCAGTCCCACGCCTTAAGAAAGCCATGGCCGTTTGATTGATCTCCCGTTCGCTGATGACTTCCATGCCGGAGAACTTATCCTTTCGCTCTGGGGGCAGAGGGAACCCTGAGAAGTAGCCCAGCTTCTTTAAGTCATGACAGAGCTGGGCCACCATATCTGGGAATTCCTCGACCACATCGAAGAGATCGTGCATTAGCTCTTGTGCACTCTCCTGGGTCAATCCCCAACCATATAGATCCGTGTCTGTGTTGGGTGCTCTCTGTTCTCTCTGGACCTCGGCCTTCGCAGCCTGTCTTGCCACATGAGAGGCCACCGCGGCAGGTGACGGCTGGAGCAGTTTCTGGAGTATCTGAGCGCCCGAGGAGTCAGCCATTGCCCCAGGATGCGTTTGTGACCATGGAGCCCTGGTTCTTCGAAGTGTGACAAGTTCCTGCAATGCCTCTAATTTCGGAGGATCCCGAACTTCTTGGCCATAGACTCTAGACAGGCGCTCAGTCGACCATGAGCACGCATGAAACTACCAATGTTAGATCCTCGGGCTTGCGACAAAAGAGCTCCATGCTAGAACGGTGCAGGCACAGCCACCTGCAGCTCTACATGGAGTTCCACAAGGCCAGCGAGCGGAACAACAAGTATCACTTTCGGCAAAACTCGACGACAGCGAGTGTTCGGCCCGGCAAGTGGCACCTTCGCACGCGCTCTCGATCTCAAAACCTATGGCTGCGCAGCTTGCCTGCCACACCAAGCCCCGCTTCATAAGTTTCATGCGCTGCAGATGCGGCTCTTTTGACCCTGCTCCGACAATAATAACTCTCCCCGGTCGCACAACTACAATCTGGGACTCTGGGACCCGTAATTTCCACGATGCAACAGGTTCTTTCTGGCGAGGGCCTGCCGCATTCAATGAAACGGTAACATCGTCTTCAGCTTAAAGGGACAATCATGTCCAAGTTACCCTATGGGGCCTAGTCCCAGCGTCACTTGCAAGTCGAAGTCCCAAACTGTGTTGCCTCCGGCCTATGCACCGATTCAAGAAACTGAAAGCAGGGACCTCGCTCACCTCTACTGTGAGGCGAAGCCCTGGCCACCACTAAGGCCAACAACCACTTTTTTCTCAGGATGCCGAATCCTCAGCTTGGGAGATCCAGGACTTTCTACAGGGGGGCTTGCATCATCCTTATGGGACTCACAATCAAACTGCTTTGCTGGTTTCCGGCTACAAAATAGTAAACCGACAGCACATGAGTGAAGTGAATGTTGCTGCTGCTGATGCAGCCGCCTTCACTACTTTTTGAAGTGCTTCATCTGATCCGGGAGCTTCTCCAAATTTTCCAAACCCCGGCCCAGAGTCTAGCAAACGGTTTACCTGTACCAAATTCACACAATAAGAACAAGAAGAAGAACAGTGAAACTAGTAATGCCAATAACAAAAATCATAATCATGAAAGTAGTAACAGTAATCAAAGTTTGACTCATACCACATGGAACCGAAAGCATGAGACTGATGCAAAGTCCCGGTGCCCAAACGGGCTTACCCTAGCAAAATCCCAGCATTAGAACGAAAACGACCCGCCACACCCAACATCATCAGGCCAGAACTCAACTCTTCGCCTGAGCGCCAAGATTAACAATCGTATCCAGGTCCTGACAGAAGATGGCGGCATTACACAAGGAACATGCAGAAAGACTTGCATGAACGCTGTGCTGAAGAGAATGTGCAGAAAGACTCGGTGCACACTTGCCTTCTCCAGTTCTGGCTGCACGTAGCTGTCCCCAGAATCCTGCAAGGAATACAGCAGGAGTTATTTCGGCTGCTCTGCAACATACGGTCACTTCTGTAGCTTCCTTCCCTGCGCGGGCTTGTAGGAAGAGGCAGGTTCAAGCCGCCTTGCCCGGTCTTCCAAAAGCGGACGGCCCAAGCCGTGATCCGCTCAAGATACCCGCCCAAAGCCACACGTCTTATTTTCGTCCTGTAAGTTTTTCCCCGTAATTCAGGGAGGACTCAGGAAGGCGAGGCCGTTACACGCTGTCAATCGCTCCTTGAAGGGACATGGACCTGGAGCCTCTTTTATGTCACAGATGCCGGATGGCCTAGCTCAACTTCCATGCTCGGACTAAACCTCCCAAGCCGGCTCAACTTCATCTTCGCACCAGCCCTAAACGGGCATGAAACATCCTAAGATGATCATCCTCGAAACGCCCCTGGTGAGGACTATCGGAGTGCATTCCGGGCTTGTTCACAGCTCTGGGAGCAATCGGAACCTCCGGCACATAGTCATTCCCGTCTGCATCTGGGGCAATCTCCTCACGACGCACAAGCATGATTCCGAGCAGGAGTTACCAGAATGCCGCCTCAAACCAACGACTAGCCAACGAATGTGTGCCTTCGCGCTGTTGCAACCAGCTTGGCGGTTGTGGGTTCTGTCTTACACTTGTGAAAGCGCAGCACTCATGGCCGCACCCCGTTTGCTACGACTCGATGGACGTAATTAGGCAGTCTCTTCCCCCCCCCCCCCCCCCCCCNNCCCCCCCCCCCCCGCCCCGCGCCTCCCACGGTAGACTCTCCCATTCAAAGTCCATCACGGCGCGGTAGGACACCAAGGCATAAACCAGCCTCGGATCTGGGACTCAGGGCCGTTGCCTGGAGTTTGTGGTTCGTCTGCCCCTCCTAGCCGAGCGGACCATCGAATCACCCAATCAGTCAGATGCTGCGGGTTTCTATGCCAACCCCAATTCACAAAACAGGCGAACTTGTAAAAGCCACGAAGATTGACAACGAACTCCAGGGCCACAGAACTGGAACGACCTTGAACACGCCCCTCTCATGCTCCCATCCTAGCAAAGCAATCCTGAAGCCCCCTTTGTGTTCTGACGGGAGCCAGGGGATCTACACCTCGCTGGCTCACAGCAGTACAAACTTCCGGGTCACGGGTCCCAAGCCCTGACACTCTGGAAGCATGTCGCAGTCTTCATTTGCAAGTGGCGCCGTGCATAGTGAGAGTAGGAAGAGCATGCTGCACCATGCCAAATCCGATGCCTATGGCAAACATCGAAACCCTGGGCGCTCAGATTGCTAGGCGTAGCACGCGGCGATGCCGAATCCGGCCGGGACATAGTTCGGAGCCCGGCCCTGGAGACGCACTGTCTTGAGGATTTACGGTTGCAGTACTTGTTTGAATGATTTCTTAGTTTCGGGTTGAGGTTCCGCACTTCGCCCAGCTTCGGCCTTTGCAGCATGGAGCCCTTCCGGTGTGCAGGAACCTTGTGAAACTGCGGCATGGCTGGCCTTGCGCGTCTTTGTGGTCAACACCCGTCTTGTCGCTCAGAGCCACCGAGAGCGGACTAGACTTTCAAGGAGTCGAGGAGACACAGGAAAGTCACCGAAACAAAGCCCCAAGGTCGTCGTGGAGGTCGCGGCTGGGGAGGAGGAGAAAGGAATTGTAGCTTCGGGGTGATTTACGGTTCCGTGGGGACCACAGCCAGGCGTGCAGTTGGCCGCAGTCTGCGGTCCACGGCCACAGAAACATGCTCATTGCAATGCCAGCACACATAATCTGACCGCAGTTGCTTGGATGCTCTTCGCTGTCCCCAACTTCCGCTGTCTACTATACTCTTAGATTAGTTGCAACGGTATTCTCAGAATAAGTTTATGTTGCATGGTCAAATCATGTTGGCGGTTCGGGCAAATCCTTGAATGCTGGTGGCACGTTTTGTGTATATGAAAGGCCTTGCAAGTGGAAGTCGGCCTTTGCCTTTGAGAATTCACAGCGATGACATGCCAAGTCAGCTCATCAGCGCTGTTTCTCGAAAGTGCAAAGCAGTTACAAAGCAGACGTCGAAATGCCCAAAGCCACTCTGTCTCTCACCCCTCCCGGTCCAGGAACATGCCGATCATCAGCAAGGAATAGAAGATCAGCCCTGCGTACCTTACCGGTGTTGGCCCGATACGTTTATCTGCTAGCAGCGCCACTTGCGCAGGTAAGGCCCCTGTACATGCAGCCTCCGATTCATTCGACAGCGATGCCCTGCAACGAAACCAGCACGAAGTCGTAGACCCGCTTCATCCCGAAAGCCTTTCAATAAATAGCATTAAAACCTCAGCTGTTCTCCATGCTGAGTTGCACATGGTGGAGCTGTGAGATGAAGAAGTACCCGCCCGAGTCTGACTTTTTCGACTCCTCAGAGGCCATCAAAAGAACCCAGTGAGCTGAGATCCCCCTCATGCGAAGTAGGGCAGCCCTGAACCCGCATAAAGTCCTCAAGCCTAGTTTGACTCAAAGCATCAGCCGGGGGTGACGCTTCCAGGGCCGGGATGTCTTCTAACTACGAGCCCGAAGCCGCCACAGCAGCAAGAGCAGTAGTAGAAGGAGCAGGAGCAGTAGTAATTAATAGACTAGTTCTGGTACTGGTACTTGTAATTGTACTAGTACTAGTTCCAATGCAGTACTATGGTACCAGTACTAGAATTAGTAGTTGTGCTACACCAGCAGCAGCTGTAATCGAAGCAGTGGTAGTAGTTATGGTAGAAGTAGTCGTCGGTGTAGTAGTAGTCGTCGTCGTGGTGGTGGTGGTAATGGTGGTAAGACTAGTAGCCGCGGTAACCGTTGTTGCTTGCTTGCCTGTTCCGTGCATTGCTTGACGCTGCCACTTCGGGCCGCCACGCGGCTGCACAATGACGAGATTTTTCGAAAGCCTGAGGACGTCTGGCTACAAAGAGCTTAGGCTTCTTGTCTCATGTCACTTTGAGAATTATCTCCGACGATGCGAAAAGTGCCAAGACGCCCATCAAGACTTCTACTTCATGTAATGGCTGCCAAGAATCTGCATAGACGAAGAGGTACCCGTAAATAATGCGACCTTCGGCTGCAGCTAGCCACAAACTCGATATTAAGCTGTGATGCCAAGATGTTTTGAGGGGACCCTCTTCTCACTGGGCTTCTCCCGTGCTACTGACAGTCATTACGACTGCCGGCAAAAGCACACCGGAACACGGCTGAGTGCCGCGCAAAGGTAGAAATTGAGCCACGCTAGAAGGGACCTGATACATCAAGGGTGGCGCCGCGAGAACAGCTTCTATCAAACAGAAACCACTCCCAGTCACTGCAAATTGTTTTGGATCCGACTACGTGCAGTGAAGACACATTAGGGGCGAGATTGTGCCAAAAATCATGGCAATCAGCAGGTTGATGGTAAATCGCGCGCTCCTGTTTCTGCACAGAATGGCCACTGAAATATAAAGAGCAGCAGGGTTGGGTAGCAACCCACCCCAAACCTAATCACCCTTGATTTCCTGTTCGTCTTGGCAGCATCGACAGTTTGGAAAATAGATCGTCGCAGCAGCAGCGCTGGTGGTGGTGGTGGTGGCAGCAGTAA